TAGCCACAGACTGCCGTGGCCAAACGGCAAACTTCGCAAGGCTATATTATCCGCATTTTACAAGATTTTGCAACAAAACTTTGGAATATTACTAATTTTGTGATGCTCTTTCAAACTGTGATGAAATTTTTGTCTAGATCGAAATTTTAGTTATAAGGGGAAAGGTCCAATGGCGAACTAATTTTAAAAATAAACGTTGTCTAAGCCGACAAAATCAAAGCTAACGTTTATGTAAATGAACATGATTTTTATCACATATAAAATCATCGTCACGGCAGTGATTTAAAATTTTTTGAGCTTCTTCTAGCACTAAACCACGGCATATTTATATGATATATAACGGATTTTTAAATATTTAGGTCTGCCGATCCTTATTTGAGACCAGTGGACTCGACCTTGGTTCGTCATGTTCAATCTTCTCAAGATCATACGAAGTTAGACGAAGGTATATTCTAATTATTCCAGTATCAGCTTCTGCTTCGTGTTCTCGTTCTGCAATTGTTCCCTGCGTGGAACGCCTCGTTTGGTTACGCAGTCGAAACTACAATTTTATAGTGTAAATTTTGCATTTGTAAATGAGCTTTCCATTGTTTTGCAAAGTGTGTCCGACTACTATTTTTCGCCACAAATGTCATGAAGAACGATGAATCTTTATTTCATTTCTAGAATCAAACAGCGACTTGTCGTGCGTGGAACTACAATGTCAGATTCTCAACAAATGGAGAAAATTGCGGAGTATTCTTTTGGAAGTGAAGCCCTGGGCTTTGTTTGAAAATAAATCTTGTGTGACTTTGCATCTCAGCGATGAAGCTGGGGAAAGCATTTTCGAAGTGAAACCTGGACAAGTTATTTCTCCCGCAAAACTTAAGGTTTGTGTTGAATCACTCATATTTTAATGTGAATTGACCTTATATTATTGCTCAGTCCCCAAACCATTCAAAGCTTAGTTTTATCAATAAGCGATTAAAGGGCATTGGCAGTAAAAAAATAATTCGTCTCAAATCTCAATGGACCTATTCCATAATGAACAAAATTTTGATCTAGACAATTCTAGACAGAAATTCCACCACAGCTTGAAAGAGCATCACAAAATTAGTAATATTCCGAAGTTTCATTGCGAAATGTTGTAAAATGCGGATAATATAGCCCTGCGAAGTTTGCCGTTTTTCAGTGATTTTGTATTACGCACGGGAATTGGGATACCGATTGAAACTTTAGTGGAGATTGAAACTTTGGAATATTACTAATTTTGTGATGCTCTTTCAAGCTGTGATGAAATTTTTGTTTAGACTTGTCTAGATCAAAATTTTGTTCATTAGGGAATAGGTCCATTGCTGGTTGTAGAATAAAGTCTGTAGAAATACTTAGTGTAATGTTTGCCTGGTTTAAGTTACTGCCTATTCTGCATTTTCGCTTGTTCTTACTGGCAATAGTGCGGTATTTTTATACAGGTGTATCAGAAAAAAGTAGACAGTTTTGAAACGGCTCTCAATTTCACAAATCCGTTTATGTCATGAAATTTTTGATAAATATAGATTGTTTGGGTCCTTATAATGTAGAATAATTATAAACAAAATTTTTTTGTAAGGATAAATTTCCAGAGCAGGGGTGTGTGTCTTTTTTAGCAGCATTAAAAATACCTTGCGCGCGAAATTTAAAAGTTTAAAACGTATTTTAAGTTCATGGGCGAGAAATTTGTTATGTCCATACCAAATATCAGAAAATTTGCTCAATTTTAAGTCCTTTAAATACCTGCTGAACTTTCATTTTTTGGCACCAATGCCTATCACATCACGCATGCTTAATTCATGCATTTATACCTAATTTGCATATTGTTATTGTACAAAAAGTAAAATAACAATAAAGAAGCAGAATAAACCATCTCTGTGATTTCTGACCATGAGTTATATAATTCAGTTTCCTTGAAATAGAAAAAGATTTTTACTTTCAGTCATTTCGTGTTGGAGTGCTTCCTGGGTGGCTTGATGAAATAACTTGGTCAGACTCCATTTACCTTGTGGACGGCGATCATCCTCACACTCCGGTCAGCAGCAACTCCCTCCAACAGTATGGTCAGTTAAAATGCCCAATAACGGTACCCAGTCCCTCAGGAAAAAAGCTGTGTTCCTTATTGTTGATGTCGTGTATCGTGAAGGGAATAAGAGTTGTAACTTTGCAAGAAACAATACGGATTGTCTGTAGTGCTCTCCCCAGACCTCTGCTCGTGCAACCTGTCATGGTTAATGACGTCACTAGCAAGGTAATTATAGACCTTTTTCACTTGTCTCAAAATTGGGCCGGATAGAGCAACCTTTTGAATTCGGGCCAGTGTCCAGCTTATTAAGAGGAGATTTTTTGTATGTTACGTAACACGCGCTCAAAACTAATGCGTATAATATATCACTTGAGGTTATGACTAAATTCAAATTTGTTATTTTTCGATACGTTTCGCAATCGGCAAACAAACTTAAAAAGTATGTTTAGTGCTTTATCTGTAAAGTAATGCTAAAATGAAGAGATTTTAGATGGTACGCCAAAGAGAAAATGATGTCTGAAGTTCAGTAAGTTTTGCTTATAGGGCTGTAAATATGGCGTCAATTTTAAAGCATCAATGATTATTGTATTTTAAATTGACAATTTTTGAATGTTATTTTATGTTTCTCAACCGGCAGATGCATTTAAAAAGGTTGCTTACTCTATAAACTAGAGAATAAATCTAAAACAAAGTAATTTTGAGAGGAACGCCAAAAAGATTTTAGGTTTTCAACACTTTTCATTGCAAATACGTGACATTGAAAAAAATTGCCTCTTAATACATATTGTTCTATTTCTTTTAGTTAAAAGAAACAGCGCGCAGTACCCACACTCGACTGAACTTAAACACGGAAAACCACGCAGATATTGTATCCCAAGGAATTCCATTCTGGGGCTTATCTCCTGAAACAGACGTAGCCAAAAGCCATACCTCTGAATCACTTTCTCTCCTTATATTTGGCATGCCAAAATCACCGGACAAGCCTAATATACCACCTACTATTCAGTGGAGTCGCCCGGTCCGAATCGAACAAGGCATCATAAGACAATGCCTCTTCCTTCAAACCTCGGACCCAGACCCTCCTGTGGCTATAGTAGTGATCACTCTGATTGAAAACGGCTTAATAAAAGTCGTTATAACGGAAGACCAAGTTCCGCGGATGTTGCTAACCAATCGGTGTGCAGCACCGATACAGTTCGGACAATGTCCAAGTACTTCGGACAGACAGAATGCAAAGACGACAAGCTTATCCGGGCGAGATCTTGTAGTGTCTGAAAATCTAGAGCGATACACCGCCATCCCTCGTCTGGGCAGTAATTGCTCTGTATACTACGAACCGCCAGAGCTCCGAGAAGGTTTCCTTACAAAGAAACCACAAATAGTCCCAAAAATACGAGTTCAAGTTTTAAAAGAGACTAACATTAAGGAGTTAGCTGGCGAGGGGCAGGATGGAAAGGGAACTAAGACTATCTTTATGCCTCAAGGTTGGAGCGACGCCATAGATGTTTGTAATGTTGGAAAAACAGCGTATAATCTGCCTGGGAATTACAGACTGCATGTGAAGGTTTTGAAGGAAACGTCGTTTCTGACCCATGTTGTGTTCTCGGAAACATGTGGCGAGTCGGAGAATACGGATGAAGTACAGGAAGGCGCCGAAGTTAAGGTCAGAATCTTCTTCGTTCTTGTTTATACAGGGTGTATGAAAAATATCTCGGTCTGTGCCAAGTGCCATTGATTATCTTCTGTATTAAAAAGGATAATTGAACTTTAATTGAAGGTTATTGTGGATGAAAATTATCGAGTGGAAATTTATATAGAGAATAATACATGGGTGCGCGGAAATACCAGATTTATTTCGAGTGGAGAAATAAATCTGGTATTTCCAAGCACCCATGTATTTTTCTGTTTATTATATAAAGGACAGTCTTTGAAAAGCGATAATTTTTACAGAAAAGCGATAATTGAAAAGCGATAATTTTCACATGTGAGATTATCATGAATAATCTCACATGGGAGATTATCACTTATCAGTGCTCGAAATCTCTTTCAAAAACTCATTAATAATTCATGAAGCAATTATCCAATCTTGAGTAAGAAATTAGTCATGTGCATACGTCTTTATACCAGCTAAAGAACACTTTAACAAAAGACCATTGTTATGCAAACTATATAAAGATTTTTATATAAAGATTTTTATATAAAGATTTTTATATAGAGATTTGACTTATTATGCAAACGTTTTTGAAGCCATTTAAAAAACTCGCAGGTCGTGTTTTATTAGGTCTAAAGCCACTTGCGCTGCGCGCTCGTGCCTTTAAACCTAATAAAACACTCCTGCTCGTTTTTTAAATAGTACATAAAGCACTATACTTTATATAATAAATACATTTATTAGACCTAAACAGGAACAAGCAGGAATCAAACCTGCGGCCCTGCGATTCCGGTGCAGCGCTCTAACCAACTGAGCTACAGAGGACAGTTGTCGAGCTCTAACCACAAGTTCATGTATATATATAGGGTACTGCAATGTTTAGGTTATGGGTAAATATGAAGATTTTGTTGGCATCTCACTCGATTGAATAATAGTTGAAGGGTCTTGTAGATAGAAATTATCGAGTGGAAATTCCATCTACACACGTAAAAAACGCACAAGTTGTAACAAGTCTGCAAACAAATTGTTACACGTCTGTCCACAAGCTGTCAACAAGTTGTGTTCGCACTGCTTGTTCCCAGTTTGTTGTGACAAGTTTGAAACAAGCTGTTAACAACTTGTAACAAGCTTGATGGCATTATAAGCCTTTTTACAAGATTGTGCTAACAAGTTTGTTACAGCCATGATATAACAAGGATGTCACAAGCTTGTCAACACAAGATTGTAACAATCTTGTTATATCAAGCATTTCACAGACTTGTCAGAACAAGCTTGCAACAAGTCTGATAATTTCGACAAGGTTGTTACAAGTTGTCAACAAGTTGTTCCAAACCTGTTGACAATTTGTGACAAGCAGTGCGAATACATCTTGTTAACAGCTTGTGAACAGACTTGTAACAAACTTGTGCGTTTTTACGTGTGTAACCCATAATCGGACTTTATATCATGTTCACATGCGTTAAGCCCGTTCTCCACTAGGCGAATTTGTTCGCGCGAACAGTAAAAAAGATAGATAGATTGATAGATTATTTAATAAGATTTTACATCGCAGCCCAAAAAAGCTGAATTGCGTAAAATTTAAAAAACATATAAATTAACTGCAGGTTATAAAGTCAATAAACACATGCATATACATATACACACATACAAATACTAAAAGTACACATATTTTCATACATATACATTACGATCTTTAAGGTTCAAGTTAGACTTATGTTATGAAAACAATTCATAGCAAACCTATTTCTTTAAATTATTTGACATTGCGGAAATATAAGAGTTTCTAGAACGATTGGTTCGTATAGTAGAACAATAAAACGCACGTTCTCTCCTCAGGTTGTAAGTGGGATCGTGTTTGGGTGGCAGTAGTTGATAAAGCTTGTGGTCTGAGTTGGATACTATTGTCTTGAAAAGTTTCTCACACAGTTTCTGACGCCTGTCTTTGAGAGAACGAATATTATGCTTGTTAAGATTGTTCGTATAAGATGACCCAGGAGATATAATTGAAAGCGCTCGCTTTTGAATGCGTTCAAGATCGTTACATAAATATGCAGGTAATGAGTGGTGGAATACAGGTGCACAATACTCGAGAACTGGTCTGATGCAAGTACAATAAAATTTTAAGATATGGTCAGCAGGAATGCTTGCACGCCTAAGCAAAATTAGGAAATACAAACGTTTGTTAGCTTTCTTCACGACATAGTTGACATGGTCAATCCATTCCAGTGAGTTAGACACCATGACACCCAATATCTTGGCACTGCTGACTAGCTCGAGTTCTTTGGAATTGATGATGGTGGTCTTAAGCTGATGTTTCACTTTCTTAAAGTCAACTATCATTTCCTTACACTTGTCTTCGTTCAACTGGAGCTTGTTGTTTTTACTCCATTTCTCTACATCAGACACTGCACTCTGCATTTGGCTTTGGCTATTTCTTGGGACAACCTCGGTTAATGTCGTGTCGTCTACGTACTTCCACGAGTGCCCTTCGGATGGTTTAAGGTCATTGATCATGAGAAGAAATAACCATGGTCCTAATTTTGTACCCTGTGGAACTCCAGATGGAACTGCACCCCATTCGGAGAAGCAATCGTTGGACAGTTTGACGCGTTGCAGCCTGTTCGATAAAAAGTCGCATACCCAGCGAACTACACTACGTGGAACATTCAGGGAAAGGATCTTTTTAACTAGGATCCGATGATCGATGAGATCAAATGCCTTCCTGTAGTCTAGCAACACCATCCTTACCGCTGCACCTGTCCCGTCAGTGGCAGAAGCCCATGTATGAATCATGGAAATAAGGGCATGCGTAGTAGATGATTTTGGGATAGCGCCATATTGGTTGGGATCAATGATCTCAACGACGGCAGGGCCAATATAATATCTTACGATAAAGTCCTCAGCTAGTTTTGATAGAAACGGAGTTAGCGAGATAGGTCTGATGTGCTTGGTAATTACAGTCACAGGTTTCGTCTTTGGTAGTGGTGTTACATTGGCGTACTTCCATGACAGAGGGAGGGATTGTTCAGCAAATGAACTGTTCAGGATAACACAGACTGGGTTCGCGAGAAACTCGGCATAATCTTTAAGGAGCCAGTTCGGCACGCCGTCTGGACCAGAGGCTTTTCGAGGATTTAGCCTGACTAATGCTGAGTAAACTGAAGACTCATCAAGCGTTAGAACTTCCGAATCATTATCAACGGGAGGAAGACTGTCAAGTGATTGATATTCCTGCATCGGTTCTAGAAGGGCAGTATTTATAAGGTTGGCAATATCCTTATTTGACTTTCCATCAAGTCCATGAACATGTAATTGGGCGCGAATATTCTCGGTTGGTGTCGCTGGGATCATTCCCGATAACTTTTTAATCTCGTTCCACCACTGACTTGGCTTAACATTCATGAGGTTCGCAACCCTCGAGGTGTAATATCTGCTTCGGAGCACTTTGCGTTCACGGTTAACGATGTTGCGAAGTTGGCGGAATCGTTCTTGTTCTCCTTGTTTGTAGGCTTTCTGGCGTAACTTGATGAGCTTTTTGAATTCGGGAGTTACCCAAGGAGGATCGTTAACATGTAATTTAAAAGACTTGAGTGGCATAATAGTGTCTACGCCAATTTTAACAAGGTCAAGAAACAGTGTTAGTTTGTCATCGCATTTATTAACAAAATTGAGAACGGACCAGATCGAGTATCTGCTGGCCTCTTGTTGGGGCACTGACGAGCTGTTTCAGTTTGAATTGCATGAGAAGTCGACTGATATTTAAACGATTAAAGTCACCAGTGAGTAATATTCCACACCCGGGATAACGTCCTTCAATAGTTGTCAATGTTGATGTCAAGTATTCCAACATCGCCTTATCGCTGGCACCTTCAGGGTAATGAGTATGGTACACACTACACAGTGCCAATAATGACACAGGGAATTCCTCTCGGTAGTCGTGCGGGTCTAATGTAGGTCCAAAGCACCTCGAATTCTTGATGGAATAAGTCAGTGAGGGCTTTGAACATGATGGAGTTTTTTTTATAAAGCCCGACACCCCCGTGAGGACCAGACGTACGGTTCTTTAGCAGTAAGTTGAAGCCAGGAATTTTAAGGTGATGCTCGCTAACAGAGTCATTGATCCAAGTCTCAGTTAATGAAATTAAATCCGGCTTTGTATTGTTAACAAAACATCTCAACTCGTCGATCTTTGGTGCAAGAGACATCATATTGGCAAGGACAATGGATGGACCAAACTCCTTATTTGAACAATTGCCAGTCGGCTGTTTGTTCGGTGTATTCGGACCTGGATTTGTAGCGATATCTCCAGCAAGAAGAATGCACATGACTAAATGTAGACTTTCATGTTTTAGGTTGAACTCCAAGCCATATCGATATTTGCGGGGATAGTTAAATTTTCGTAAAAACTTATCCTGAGTTGATATCCATATAAAACCAAGTCTGTCAGGTAGTAAGGTTAGCTCGGAGGATATAAAGAAATTTTCCAAAGTTGTTTTATCATCCAAAAACACACGCTGCAGTTTAGTTCTTGTAGGTAGACAGGAAATCATGGTGATAGTGACAAACCAAATGAGAATATATCGTGCCATTTCTTACTGTAATTTTACCAGTTTGAAACAAGGAAGTTGAATGTTCTAATCTTTCTTTTCAATGAGTTTTGGAAATCGGAAAATGCCAATGAGGATAGTTTAATAACTTCTAATTAGGATTCCGCGTTCACTTAAAAATTCTTGAATGTTCCACTGACGTCGTTCAGCGTGCGGAACTGATCCAACTTTTTCTCGGCGAATTTTTTCGCTGACCAATCACATTGCCAAGATTTGTTTTTTCGCTTCGCGCGAAAAAATTCGCCTAGTGGAGTGTTCTCCACCCTCGGCTTTAGATATCGAGTTTATTGATAACATTTTTACACAGCAACAAAGTTCAGTCTTTTAGCTGTCCAATGATACATTTTCTTTGTCATTATATAACAAGATTTGTACAAAACTTGAAAATCCTCGAAAGTCCTTGAATTTTGAAACTCCTCGAGTTTATAAAAAAGTGCTTGAAAGTCCTTAAATTGTTCTTGCTTTAGTGGATATTTTCTGAAATTGTTTGACATTAAGAATTGAACATTTTGTAAGTTGATTTTGTTCATGTCTTACAAAGGCCAAAGTTGTTTGAAATTCATTCAAGTTGCCGTTTGAATAGTCTGACGCCTTTTCAGCCTTTAGTCTTTGAATTTCCTGATACTTGGCCTTGAATGTCCTTGAAAAGTTCTCGAATTTAGCTCTTCCTGACAAGTACGAACCCTGTTGTAAAGAAAAGTGAATAAAAATTGCCTTACCCAACAATGTTTACCAATTTTTTAGATAAACTGCAACGTGTCAAACGTCAGCGTATGCCTTCACGATGAATCGTCTTGGGTCCAACACACTGAAGTATTTCGTATCAATCTCGAAGACGTCGCTGTCTCAGCGCTCTACAGCGACAAGCTCCAAACTCACATTGAATTGAACCTGTCTGACATACAGATTGACAATCAGATGACGGACGATTTTTACCATTTCCCTGTCGTGTTATTCCCTGGAAAACGAATCGCGGAGCACGAAACGCAAACAACACCCATCTTTCTCCGAACGCAATACGACATCTGACGAAGTTATCCGAGATTTGAGTTTAGCATCGCTATCGTAAGCCCGGTATTAATAGACCGCATTAGCATCGAACCTGTGTATGTGTTAGTAACATTTCACGCCTCAGTCAAACTGTTTGTATCAGCCAATCATACCCCGCTATTCTTCTCACAGTTTGAAATGACGTCATTGTTTACAGACCCAGCATTCCTAGCGCAGCTACTAGCCGTGCATTATGCTTATTCAGCATTAATGAAAGTCGGATGGATTGTTGGCTCACTGGACATAATTGGCAGTCCAGCTAGTTTTATCCGGAGTTTAGGCCAGGGGATCGCAGATTTCTTTTACCTACCCTATGACGGGCTAACACGAGGGCCAACCGCATTCGTGACGGGCATGACACGCGGGATGTCCTCGTTTATGTCGCACATTTCAGCCGGTGCTCTGACATCAGTGACCAACCTAGCTTCCAGCATCTCGCGCAACATGGACAGACTTAGTTTTGACGAACAGTATGTGAGGTTTCAGGAACAGCAAAGAGCTGATGGTGCGCCACGGAGAGTTATCTCGGGTGAGTTGATCAACAATCATTAACCTCAGTGTCGATGAATAGTATAAGGAAGGTGCAATGATGTTTTATGAACTATCAAAGCGACCTTTAAAACTTGGACTTTTTTTCCATAGTAGTAGCCTTTCACGCATAATTTTCAAACTTCTTGTACAGAGTATGTAAGAAATGGATCATGCATAAAATCAGTCATGCATTTGATAAATTATGCGTCAAAGGCTACTATGGCAAAGAAGTCAAAGTTAATGTACGTAAGACTTAATGTACATCACATTGTCTGGTACTTTGATAATTCGTAAAATACCTTCTAAATTTGCACGCAATTAATTCAAATTGATTCTTAAGGTGGCTTACTACAGTTGTTTAAGCATGGGACTGGTAACGAAATAACGTTATCTTGTCGAGTTGAAAATTTATCACGTCAGCAAAAATTTCATTTGACCGCGCAAGGTTTGTAATGCAATAACTTTTTCCTTCGGTCAATATTTCTGAAATTTTGTAATTTAAAAGTACTAGTCATTGCAATATACTCAATTTTCAAAAGACTCTATAAAACAGTTTTTGTTGAACAAATTTCTCGTAATATCTTGAGAACTGAATTAAAAACCCGCCCTAATTTTTTTATATAATCTTCCACAAGATGAATTCTTTAAACCTACAAAATTCCAGAAACTTTGACCGAAGGAAATTTTAGTCCAAAATTTGATCTTTGTCTGCTGTCGCTTAGGTCACGTTGTTACTGTAGCAACACACAATTTGCTTCTTTCGAACGATTACGCTTGAAGTATAAAGATTACGCAAGTTTCTACTTTCAAAAAAATCCCCATTTCACATAAATAGCAAATATTTTGCATCATTGTGAAGACCTTCTTTTTCGCTACTGTTTCTTTACAACTGTAGTGAGCCACCTTAAGTCTCCCAGTTTTGTGTGCAAGCCATTTTTAAAATGATTTTTAAAAACAACCCTCCAGCACTCGAGAATTTACTTTTTAAAATAATTTTAGTGGTAAAGATACTAGCAGACGCCAAACTATACCCATGCATGCATGCATAAAGTTTGACAAATTTTGAGGAATTTGCGAACATGTACCAACTGTTCGCCTTTTTTCATACACCCTGTATAGTTTCCTCTTATTATTCTCTCAGGATTCACCCATGGTTTATCAGGGTTTATGCTCAGCGTATTAGGTGCAGTCGCCGGGGTTGTCGACCAACCCTTGCAGGGGCTCTTTCGAGCAGAAAGCGTCAGCGATGTGACCAGCGGTTTAATCGTTTTGTATATTTCTGCACGTCTGTTTATTTCAAAACTCGGAGAAGAAAACTCCTACTGATCCAGACAATATTTCTGAAGAAATATTTCTAAATTTTAAACAAACTGTTAGGAAGTTTGCTTTGAATTTTAGGTTAACCCTTAGGGTTAAGATAATCGGCTTATGAACACCTGGCCTTCGATGTCAGCCATAAGGGTCGATTTGAGCGGGTTTTGAACTCGGATCTTCGGGAATTCTGCCGTTGATACATTTTTCTCTACCCTAGGAAACTGCTAGAATCCAACTCATCTACAGACATATTCGCTGTGACCGTAAGCGTACTGGTCAGTGGCAACTCCCATTTTGATGCAACCCTTATCATGTCATGTGATTCGATAATGTTCCTTGATACGGACGACGATACGATATTGTCAGCGTTCATCTTGAAACAGGTTGACATGCGCGACGACCCACAGCACCCACGTGCTATCATCGTGGAGCACCACGTGCCCGGCACGGACACAATAAGCGAGGTGTCAAGCTTTGCCGATCTCAGCCCTACCAACACAGGCCCGTCTCGTGATGTGACCAACCGAAGCTCTCGTCAATCCTTCTCGGAGAACGAGGCAGTGAATTTGACATTATTTATGGACCCTGTGTACCTCAGGCCTTTGCTAAGCAGATTCAAATTGTTGAAATCGGGTTATTAGAGAATGGGTTATCGTGAAAATGTCATGATGGAAAAAAACACCAAAGTCCGTAAGTCAATTGAGCTACGATCTGAAAACTCGACAAAAGATAGGACCCGTAAAGATAGGGTCACGATCTTTCTCAACGACCAGATTATAATAGTTTTTAACTTGTAAACCACATATAAATCATAAGTATTCTCTAGTTATAATCACTCCGCGTATTTTCAGTTCTAAACTGTTGTATTTCGGCTGATGAGAAAGATCGTGACCCAATCTTTACCACCGTTACAACCAGGCTTAACTAATATTTCAACGGTATAGAATTGAGCGATTCATAGGCCATATTATTAAGAAATGTAGGGCGAAAATAAGTTCGAGCTAGGAGTAAGTTCGAAAATAAGTTCGAGCTATAAGTACCAATGGCAGGATCAGATTGTCTCGCTTCTTTTGCTTACGACTTACTCTGGTATGTTTAATTGTCTCTGTTAATAATAATTATGAAAAATGGAGTTAAAATGTTAATACCAGAATTATAAGTTTTAAGAAGGACTGTTTATAGGATAGGGACTTACCTTCCTGGAAATTGTTCGAAATAAATGAGGAAAAATAACATTTCTTTCAAAACCAGTTGGACCATTTTGGCAGTTTAAAATATAAAGTGCAGACCATAATTTATTTGACCTCAAAAAAATTGTTCGTCGGCCATATTTTTTTTCTCACTTGCGAGCTCTGATACCATTGATTCGACGAGATGCTTCCTTCACTATGGTATAAATTAATTGTTTTCAGTTTGCAAAAACATGAACGAAAGATCTAACAAAAACATTTACCGAGTTTTCAAATCATATCTTAATCGAGTATTAACAATGTTGACATTGTTTTTCAAGCAAAAAACTTGCAGAACGATATTTTGAAACGCAGAATAATTGTATATTTGCCCTTGGCCATGGGCAAAAATCCTCCTAAATAAATTTAGAAATAAATACATAAATAAATAAATTTTATATCCTCCTATAACCATGATTTTGCCCATTATTTAACTATGTATTGAGCACGGAATCCTTAAACACTTTGTAAAAGTATTTTTGAGTTCAAAGATGCAGCTGGTCTGCGATTGAATAAAACGAAAAGTGATTTGTTGAAATGTGTAATACATGTATGTTTTGTATTTTGCTAGTCAGATTGGGTAAATACAATTTTTAGTGAGTAAAAGGTCGGTTAAGTGAAAAACAAAACAACTCAAGGGTTGGGTAAATTTATTGTCATTTGCGAAGCATGACTCACTCAAATATTGAAGACTAACAAGCAATGTCATATCTTTATAGCCACAAACTGCCGTGGTTATAAGGTATACTGAAATCCAGTATCATTTATAGCCACAAACTGCCGTGGTTATAAGGTATACTGAAATCCAGTATCATTTATAGCCACAGACTGCCGTGGTTATAAGGTATACTGAAATCAGGTATCATTTATAGCCACAAACCGCCGTAGCTATAAGGTATACTGAAATCCAGTATCATTTATAGCCACAAACTGCCGTGGTTATAAGGTATACTGAAATCCAGTATCATTTATAGCCACAGACTGCCGTGGTTATAAGGCATACTGAAATCCAGTATCATTTATAGCCACAAACTGCCGTGGTTATAAGGTATACTGAAATCCAGTATCATTTATAGCCACAGACTGCCGTGGCTATAAGGCATACTGAAATCCGGTATCATTTATAGCCACAAACCGCCGTAGCTATAAGGTATACTGAAATCAGGTATCATTTATAGCCACAAACTGCCGTGGCTATAAGGTGTACTGAAATCTGCTATCCTTTATAACCACAAACCGGCGCGGGATAATGCTGAGCCAGATCAATGTGCTGAGCTCAGAATGGGTTCGCACTATTTTCCATCCAGCAAACCGCCCGACCGATTTTCTAAAGTCGTTTCTTTTTGCCGTTTGTTTATTATTTCGGTTAGGGTTAGAGTTAGGTTTGCGGTTAGGGTTAGGGGGTAGGGGTAGAGTAAGAGTAGGGTTTGGGTTAGTTACATAGCCATTTAACATCTCTTCCATCTTCCGAAAATGACGTCAGGTCAGTTTGCTGGATGGAAAATAGTGCTAACCTCAGAAAGTGGCTCAGATTTTGCCGAAGAGCAATCTGCGATAGTTTTGGCGGCGGGTGGCAGGCGGAGTCAAACTCGCGAATCGGGTGCAGATTTTGAGACGAAATTTAAATGTCCTGTTTGGGAAGGATTTGTTGCAATTTATATAAACATTTGTTTTACTTTTATATCGCTTTTTTGAAGAGATTTTCTGTGTTTTGGCATAAGCGAGAGGTCCTGCGCAGTCGAAAATGGTCTCGTTTTGTGCAAAGGTAAGTTCAAAACACAAAATATCAACCAGAATGATTTGTTAAACCGAAAAAATGAATTTTCAAAATGGACAGGATATCACAAACAGTTCAATGGCCACGGGTCAATGTCCTGCTCGAAGCTTTCTCGATATTTTTAAAGCGAGTTACAGTATTACTTACATTCATTATAACATTCACAATATAGTTTTAATTGCAATTCAAAAGCAAACAATAGATAATGAAGCTTAATGAGGTTTATCATGTCATCTATTGTCTTAATTGCATTCGACACGACCAAAATTCGACGTATATTAAAAACAGGCCTGATACTATTAAATCGCTTGCATTCTGTCCAAACAACCCTATTATTTCTCTATTAACTGTTATTTTTACAGCTCCAGGCACATACTGAAAAGTTTTATTTTGTGCAGAAATTTTTTTTTCCTTGGGAAAAATATGTGCAATATTTTCACAGAAAATTTCAGACCAAGTGATCCTGCAGTCAGAAAGCGCTTTGGCCAAATAGGAATATTGAAAGATTTTGTGCAGATTTCCATAATTGCAAGAATTTTTGTGCAAGAAATTAATTGAAGTCAAAACTTTACAGTCTGGGGCCTCCGGCAAGGACCTTCCATTGTTAACCCAGTAACTTTATGGAAAGTTTGTATCGTGCAACTGAGATCTCGGGCATATGCAGTTTTCAAAATCTCGGGTGCACGATTTTGAAACCTTCCAGTCCGATTTCAGTGTAACTCGCCGCCAATGAAATGGCCCGAAAAGGAGCGCCAGTCTCCCTTGGCATACCCAAGGTTGTTTTGGGAGGGTTGAAAACATCCTAATAGTATGCACAACACATGGATTTAGCAATGTACAAATTGAGGGGTTCCTGAGAAAAATTTGGACTTCTAAAGTCCTTCTGCATTTTGAGGAATGTTTTACTTGAAATGTTGTATTGGGAAAGGCCACTTTCAAACTAGAAAAGAGGCCATTTTCACTAATGGTTTAATTAAAGAACAAGTTATGTGGCGCTTTACGTTAAATAGTAATTATAGAAATAATGTCTATAGAAAATTTGCCCTAGTCTCCTAATACAAATTTGGCATTTAAAACAATAAAACATTCTTCTTTGAATATTACTTACTCCCCATTCAAAACATGTTCATGACATCAAACAAGAAGATTTATTTTGTCCAATTTATTTATTTAAATTTTAATATTTTGCTAGTATTTAACAAGTATTTCCACAAGTTTGCTTTTTACAGATATAGTCGATGTCCTCACAGCGAAATAAGAAAATCTTCCCGATCTCAAAAGCCAAGAAAAGCTTGAATTTTTATGAGTGTATAATTGTCTTATTTTGCTGTCAAGATTTTACGACCTTTGAAAAGTACTATTCCGAATAAATAATTACATTTATAATATTTTCTGAATGCGATAAAATCTGTGTGCTTGTTGTAAACAAACAATTCCATGGTAGTATTGGATTGTTCCAGAAAAGATCCAAACTCCCTCAACAGAGAACAGTTGTACTGTCTTGGGGGGGGGGGGG